CATAGGACGAACCCTGTCACTGCTACTCGTCTCCTGGGCAAAATAAATGATCCTCGTTGGCAAAACTTTCACCGTTAAGATCACTGGATGCAATTCTATCGTTGCAACTTTAGGCTCAAGCCGGAGCCATGTAGGCAGTCGAATACCAGGTGGTTCAGACCTGTGGTTGGGTATGGTTGGCTAATGACAACCATTAATAAGGCAAAGATGGCCGGCCCAGTCTACTTTGTCTTTGTGGGCATTTCTTTTCTGAATATATAACTAGTCTCTATGCGATTACCTACAACAACTCTAGGCACCCGGGGAGTAGCATGACCAGTAACCTAATCGGTGAAGGTCCACACGATGATAATGACTATTTTAGATCATGACCCACATGACAACGTGCTCGTGTCTCAATGACAGAAAGTTAGGCTACCTTGCAATAAACGACTCGCAAAACCGATATCCCTCATCACTCAGTGCCACGCAAGATAATGAAAGGACTCATTTATCTGACAAGGAAACTTTTCCCAACAAAATCGTAAGCTTGTAGACTGGGTTTCCCTCTTCAACGAGTACATCATCGAGGACTGAAAGCTGCTCCAAAAGAATATATGACACATCTCATGAAGGGCTAATGCCCTTTGCGAAAATCGAAGAAAACATCCGACTTCCATTGCTAATGTCGGATTTAAAAAGAGAACTAAAACAAGACCCGACAACCTGACCTCCATCTGCAGTAAAGTTAGGCGGAAGGCTATCAAGAAAGAACTGGTGATTTACTTGTAGATTTGCTAGTGCCCGTCTGGCACCCATTACGGTTTTCGTAATGACATTTCTTTTGTGACGAACTCCCTTCAAACTTGGACCCTTCAAAATTGAACAATAGTGTTTGATGGAATTTACACTGTTGACTCATACAATACGCTGAATAGTGTGCTTCACAAACGAATTCTCTACAAGTTGATACTAACTGTGCCGGAGAGAATCATCTTAACTGCATCAAACGTTGCTTTATCAGTCGTATTCAACGTTTTCTTATAAAAGGACCCACAACCATAGAGAGTGGCTGTATACGGGGTTTACTGTTTGGAGCAAACCCAATTCACATGTTTATAGCCGATTGTGTGTAAGATGTGGACTTCACAATTGTTATTTCTGTGAATTATTTCACGATTTGGTGTCACCGTGTTACTAATGAACCCATCCTAGAAGTAGAGGCAGCAACCGATCACATGTAATGTTAGGCGAAATTCGTACATGCGGTTTCGATTAGGAAGAATTGCTCAAGTAGGATTGTAATATTGATTATCTTACAATGTAATCCCATTATGCTTTAGACACAGCAGTATGGAGACTTTTTGATGGGCGTCTTTCCTACCACCTGAAAAACTGGATTCGGTAGGAATAACTGCTTATGTAGCACGAACTTATTCTATTGATTTCTGATGCCCTTATAAACGCAAATATATTTTAAAGAAAAGGTGCCCATAATGTCCTTCCTTATGTTCGTTTGGCAATAAACACGTCTTCTTCAGATGTTATACTAAAAAATAGGCATCTGTCGCTTTTAAAAAAGTCCTTCGATTACCGAAATTTATGCATTTCTTCTACAAAATATACTTGCATTTATAGGTGTATCAAAAGTCAGTAGGAGAAATTCACACCGCATAAGCAGTCATTTTTATCGAATACAGTTTTTCAGTTAGTAGAAAAGAAACCGATCCAAAAGTCAGCATGCTGGCATGTCTAAAACATCATCGCATTATATCGCAAGATAGTTTACATTACGATCCCACTTAAGCAATTCTTCCCAATCGAAAACGCCTGTACGGATTTCGCTTAACAATTTATGAGATCAGTCACTGAGAGGGACAATGGTCCAACCAGTGGCCTTTGTCGCTTAATGTGAACAGATGCATGATATTGCGTTTTGGAACTCAAGACCAGCAATAAAGTAGGCATATTTACGATGTGAACGGAGTGTCATCAGAAGGAGTCGAAACTTAGACAGGTTTCGGAGTTATTTAACCCATTCACCTCATTGAGACATCATATCCACCCACGACGTAACAGTCACCGTGAGGTCTTCTTATTTCTGCCTCTGACACCTACTCTTAAATATCGTCGCTTCTATTCTGTAAATGCAATTGCTATTTGGAATAAACTACCCATGAGTGTGAAAACTCTGCAAAATTATGCTTTATTTAAGAGAAATATTACTAGATTTTTGCATTCAGAAAAGCTTCCTCAAATTTTGGGTGCTGAATCCGCTGATCGACTCTACCGTAGCGATGGCGTTTGTGGTCTCTGAACATTATGACCGGTTTCACCAGCTGTTCCTCAACGTCTCTTTTTTGACTATCCCCAACTTCATGAAAGGAATTGACGTCTGATAATCTCCGATACCGTGCAACCCCCTACCCCCCTTCTTGACGGTCGAAAATCTACCACCAGCAGTTTTTTCTCCTGAACCCTCCAAACCATATAAACCAACATCAAGTATATTTTTATTCCTCAGGAGTTTTTTTCACTGTTGGTTGGATTTGTGTTTAATCGCTTCCCTTGACAATGCCTGTAAACTGGCATTTAATAAATTAAATTAAATTAAAAATGACCTCACTAAGGTACTTAACTTACTGCCATGTTACAGCTAAAACCGGGAATTCATTGATGCACACAGTCAAGTAGTTTTCGTAGTTTTCGATGTAACTGCTTCTTCAGAGTCTGTAGAACGCATGTGAGAGCACACCCTTAATATGAGGTCCAGATCTAGAGACACCGATTGCAGTACTATTACAACATACTCAAAAGTGTTCGAAGGCCAACCACCACATTAGTCATTGATCAGTTAAAATTGTCATCTTCGACCCACCAAGCTGCATTGGAGCTCCTATTTGTCAGACAGCATTGGAGAACTCGTTTAAATAGTGGCGTATCTTCTTTAAGCAAAGTAGAAACAACAGTGGGAGAGGTGTATGATAGGAACGTAAACGACGGCTGCAATAAACTGGTTGAAGAAGTTTAGTGAAACTGGCTTCAATATGAGGGTGGAGTGAAAGATTTCAGGGCAGAATAGCACCAAGATGCCGGAACGTTGTTTTCTCCTTGGGAGGATTGCCCAAGGATTCAGAAATGGGAGAGGATCGCAGTCGAAACATACACTGGACTGACTTCTTATTGTTATGTAGCAAGCCATTTTCCAACGACCATGCACATACCTGATCTAAGTGATGCTTTAAAAGCTGGGGATGAGTGTGACTTTTGAGGGTGACCAACAGCCATATCATCAGCATACTTAACATACGGGCAGTCACTTAGTGATCTCAGTTTATCGGTGTGAGGGGAGAAGGGGTGAGCAGCACTCCGGCGGTTCGACCGTTGTGAGTCGTGCTCTACACATCTATCAAAAACCCTAATGATTATAATTTATTTAATGCCAGTTTACAGGCATTGTCAAGCGAAGCGATTAAACACAAATCCGACTAGCAGTAAAAAAAACTCCTGAGGTAAAGGAATAAAAATATAGTTGATGGTGGTTTTCATGGTTTGGAGGGTTCAGGAGAAAGA